GATATGCTATACACAAGGTATCTACATGTGGAAGAAATCTCCCAGTCCATTCATTTACCCAACATATATATGAATGGCAATGGATCAACGGTCCTGTAATCTGAATTAATCCGATCAGTACTGGGACTGGGGCTTTTATAACCTGTCTACTAATGAAACAGGGTTTTAATTTGTGAGTGACAAACAGCTATGTAGTGACATAAAGTCCCAACAAGATGAGCCTGATTTACTAATGTAGTGCCGGTTCACATATATGTGGATTGGATGAGGTTTGAACTGCAGCCAATCCGCATGACATGTGAAATAACATTGCTCCTATGATGCCTGTTCACATATGGCCGGTGTACTGGTGGTGCGGATTTATATAGAGTCATGTCCGATTTCTGAGCAGTGCAGTCAGGTTCAGGTTCAGATTTCAGGCTATGGACTTCTATGGGAACCGCTTCTAAATCGCATATGTGTGAGCAGGATAGGATCCTGAGCTAATCTTGTCCTGAACTTGATGTAAACCTGACGTGATCCTGTGAACAACTACTGCATCAATTAGCTGTGAAACCTGAACCTGAATATTCACCTCAATTAGCCAATCACGTGCAGATCAAGAAGTAAACTAGAATTTGCTTTTCTCATCGTTGGCTAGTGGAATTGTATTTTCATTAGATTCATTCATTTATTTTAATATATAGAGAGAGAGAGAGCTCCTCCCCCATCTTCTGGAACTCTCTACCCCAATCTATCAGACTATCGCCTACTCTGCTCACTTTTATGCAGGCCCTAGATGGGTCGTTTATCGGCCGAATTTCCGTCCACAGGAAAAAATCGGACATTATTCACACCATTAGTGGGGCAATGCCATCAGCCGTGTTTTGCGGATCTTCTCGTTTATTTTTATCGGTCATGCTGGAAAATCCACGAAAAACTGCCGTTTTTTGTAGACATTGGTGGCAGCATCGGCAATTAACGATTTTCCGTTTATTGGACGACAATTCGGCTATGGCCAGCCTTAGGCGATCTCTGAAAACCTATCTCTTCAGGGAAGCCTATTCTGCCTTCAGCTAATAACGGAAACTTCTATTCCTCCTATCAGTCAATCCCCCACAGTGATCACCTATTGTAACACCAGCCCCTCCCTTTTTAGATTGTAAGCTCCATGGAGCAGGGCCCTCTTGTATTGAACTGTACTGTTGCTGTATTGTCTCCCTTTTATATTGTAAAGCGCTGAGCAAACTGATGGTGCTATATAAATCCTGAAGAATAATATAAATATATATATATATACACACACATACAGTATTCCAGTAGATCGACAGTTTTTAAATACTCACACCAGCCCGTCTGGCACAAAAACCATGCCATGTTCAAAGTCACTTGAATCCCTTTTCATCCCTATTCTGATGCTCGGTTTGAACTTCAGCAAGTCGTCTTTACCATGTCTAGATGCCTAAATGCATTAGTTGCTGCCATGTGATTGGCTGATTAGCAATTTGTGTTACCAAGCAATTGAACAGGTGTACCTAATAAAGTGGCCAGTGAGTGTGTGTATATATGTATTATATGTGTGTGTATATATATATATATATATATATATTTATATATATTATTTTTTTATATGTATCCTTTCAGTAAAGCCTCATTGTCTGTTTTAGAAGCTGACCTGGATGCTTTGTTTGATTGGCCACTACATGACAAACAATGTTAAGGGCACATTCACACTGATCTATAAACACCTATGTAAAGGCATGTGTTGTCATGCAATGAGGCTCACTGCACATAGGCAGCCCATTCATTTTAACATGGTAGTAAAGTCTTTGTATTTGAAATGAGCAGCTTTTTTTTTATAACAGAAGAGACCCTAGTTGTCTCTTCTGTCATAAACGTCCCCCCTGCTTGTCAGCAGGAAATGTGATCTGAGCACATACGCAGGTCAGATCACATTTACGGCCCACTCTATGTGCTGTCGCGATGTAATTCCCATGTGCATCCATGAAAGTGACGTCATCGCAGCCCAGCCATCCAAGCAGCCAAAAATCTGAAACCCAGACAGAAGAAGACTGAGCAAAGATGGAAGCGCCATGTGACAGCGCTGCATTGGAGGGCTCCATTAGCAGGTAAGTCAGTCATAATGTGCCAGTATGTGGTACATAACAACCTACACCTGCCAGGGGCACCAGCTTTTTTATTTTTAGGAAACCGGTTTACTACTACTTTAAATAGATTAGCAATGCACCTGAATGCATGAAAAACACACTTGTAGCATTTGTGAAAATGCAGCACAGCACAGTGCATGGTAAGTGCATTGTAGTAGAGGTGGGATGACCACTACTGTATATGTACGTTGCATACCTTCTAAATGAATGGCAATGTAACAGTCATAAAACCTTTTACCAGATATGACTACAGTGCATAGGCATGAACAGCCACGATATGTGCGGTGACTGGCGGTTTTCTGCACGTGATCAAAAACAGTTACAGCAAGGGCGCACAGAAAACGATTATGTTCTATGCGTCCTGTTCACTGTTCAATGAGGATTTCAGCCAGGAGCCAGATGTCAATCAGGCAGCTGAGTGGATCCCGACAATATGGTCAGGATCCTTCCAGAGACTGGAGCAGCTCTGCTTCGTGAGCTGACACGCGGCTTTAGACTGCTGTCAGCTGATTCTGGGTCACAAGAGAGCAAAAGTAAATGCATTCCTGTAACCCATAAGAGAAGTATGACGAAAAAAAAACCTTTGCCACACTTCTCTTTTACGTGAACATGATACTTAGAGCTTACCTTCCAACTTTCTGAGATGGGAACGAGGGACACCTATTAGCAAAAGTTTGCAGACATAAGACACACCTCCTGCCACACCCCTTAAAGAAGAGTTATACAAAAAAATGATTAGTTAAACCCACAAGTGCTTTTTTTTTACCACTACTATTCCTTTGTATTGGCTTTTGAAACTTACAAATGCAGCAATTTAGAAATTGGATAAAAGGTTTAACACTGTAAAATAGGGATGCACTGAAATTTCGGCCACCGAAACATATCGGCTGAAATTAGCCCTATCGCATTTTGCATAGGAAAAATTTAGCTGATACAGGTGCCGATACAGGGGACTGTGTGTACTGCAGATGTAAGGGGGGGGGGGGGCTGAGAAAGGCAGGAGAGGAGCAGTGTATACAGTGACTGACTGTCATTATATGTCAGTCCTGTTTTTTTTTTCTTTACTATAGCTCAGAGAATCAGCTGTCACTTTCCCCCAGCTGAAAAAAAAAAAGTTTCCTTTTAGTTTTTTTCCCTGAGTTAAAAGAAATAAAGTTTCCTTTTTGTTTATTTTCCGGGATAAAAGAAACAAAGTTTCCTTTAGCTCCGGGGAAAGTGACAGCTAATTCTGTGAGCTATAGTGAAGAAAAAAAAAAATTGGCAATTGCATTTAAAAATCGGCACCGACATACAGTGACAGCCAGTGAGGGAGCCTCTCTGTATTCACTGCACCCTCACTGTCTACACTGCTCCTCTCCTGCCCCCCCCCCTACAAAGAGGACCTGTCACTCATATGCTATCACATAAGGAACTATTGGTCCCCTATGTGATAGCAATAAAATCATAACTTTAAAAAAATAAAAAATATACATGAAAATAGAAAAAAATACCAAAAAATATTGGAGCCTCCCCATCCCCACATACGCAGACATTTTGGTTTCGGTTCGGTTCTCGGCCACATGCATTCTGAATTTTCGGCATCGATTTCAGCACCAGAAGTTTCATTTTGGTGCACCACTACTGTAAAACACTTTTCAATATATAAATAGTGCATTTTATATACAACTATATAGATCAGACCAAAATGAGGGACAAATGAAGAGGGACAGAGGGACTTTGTTCCAAATCAGGGACAGTCCCTCAAAATCAGGGACAGTTGGGAGCTATGCCTAAAGAGACATTGTCACCTTGCTCTTTCATGTTTGTAAAGTGCCCCTGTACCTGTATACTTACCTTACCTATGCTCTATGACCGCTTCTTCCTCTGTTGCAGCCAACAACAATACCTGGGACATATTTATGCAAAACCTTAGTAAGGACTTTGCAGTTCAGTTTGGGCACCAGTTCACAAAAATTATATTGTAAATGCTTCCTTTGTTGTAGTTAAGTTCAGTTGAAAATTGATTCATTGAAACTTCTCCCCTTTCTTAATTTTTATTTCTCAGGCCCCTCTTACCTTGTCTACTGAGTTGTCTTAAAAAAAAAATATAAATGCCCAACGAATCCAGTGTTGTCTGGTATATTCCACAGCTAAGGTGCTGCATGTTGGGGCAGCACAGTGGCTAAATGGTTAGCACTTCCGCTTGGCAGTACTAGTTGTTGGTTCGAATCCCAACCACGGCACCACCTGCCTGGAGTTTGCATGTTCTCCTTGTGCCTGCGTGGGTTTCCTCCGGGTACTCCAGTTTCCTCCCACACTCCAAAGACATGCTGGTAGGTTAATTGGATCCTGTCTAAATTGGCCCATGAATGTAAGTTAGGGATCTTAGAGTGTACATCCCTTGAGGGTTAGGGACTGATGTGAATGTACAATATATATGTAAAGTGCTGCGTAAATTGAAGGTGCTATATAAGTACCTGAAATAAAGAAATAATGTGATGTCCTGTACTATTATCTTCCGTTGTGACTTCATCTGCTGCTGGGATCTTACAGCTAGCCCCCTGATGTGGAATGTATGGTAGATACCCTGGAAGCCTCCTGGGATACATGACAGTAGTATTATATGAATCTCTGGGCAGCACGGTAACATAATTCTTACCTAGGTGAGAAAGTCAGGATGTGTGGGGGCTCCCTGGTAGAGCTCATTGTACCATGCTTTGTTAGGCTTGTTTTGCCTTCCTCTTGAGCCAGGGTTTAGGGTTTGAAAAAGACTTGTTCATTTGGGGATTATTTTTTTGTCCATTTTAGTGTCTTGATGAATTTATCATAATATGCTTATGATTTCTGTTTTTGAACATTTGCTTCCATATTTTGCAGAACAATGTGTGAGGTTGAACTGAACACGCGTGTGTATGTAAAGATGATGCTCCATGCTGCACGCTATCTGCACAGTACAGTGAGCGGGGTTCTTCTGGGACATCACACACCATCCTGCCTGACTCTTGTTGATTGTGTCCCTGTCTGCCACCTTCAGCTGCCACTCTCCCTGAGTCTTGAAGTGGCTCTGGCACAGGTACCATATTGTTTCCTGGGGGTTCTATGTGACACAAGGACTTGTACTGGCCTTTTCATGATTTGTCCACTATTTACCAATTCACTGCAAATTTTAGTTTTCCTCTCCACTGCTCCTTCTTCATTCCCTCTGTGCCATCCTCACACTCAGCTCTTTGTCTGTCCCACAGATAGACTCATGGAGTGCTCTTCAAGGACTGGTTATTGCTGGTTTTTATCAAGCAAACGCTGGCCTTAGAGACACCAGGTGACCACTTATCTTCCCTCATCTCATTGTCTCACTGCATTGTTTTACCGTATGATCATATGCATAATGTCTTATAGCCTCACCAGTAGGAAACACATTGGGGTATATAATAGGATTGTTGTACTCACCTGTAATTCCTTTTTCTGAAGTAGTTCACTGGAGGACAGAGAAGTCTTTTTCTTCATTGTGTGAGGGATAGCCACCACCTCTAGGAGATATGGAAACTATGCACATTGAAATGGGCTCAGCTCTAACTGGTGCTAATATTCTTAAGCTGGGTACACATGGTCCGAATATAGGCCGATTCAGCAGGAACTGGCCGACATTCAGACCATGTGTACAGCTGTCCTTCCGACAGCTGTCTAAGGACTGGCTTTTGTTGAAGGGGCATGCTGGAAAACCAGCATCCGATCAGCGCTCGGAGCCAATGGCTGCGAACACTGATTGGTGTGTTCTGACGGAGTGAGTGGGAGAGAGGGGCACAGTGGAAGAGATCTCTGTACTAAATAACAGCAATCTCACAGGTTTTTTTTCCCTTCAGCCCGCTGGGTTGAACAAAAATAACACTGAATGTTTGTACCAGGCTTTACGCAACTACATATGCAGAGGAGTAAAGCACTAAGCTCAGTATGGTAAGCTATTGTTTTCTGACAGCGACTACCACAGCTGTTAGAAAACTCAAACAGTGCAGTAACTGTTAAGCAGGATCAACTTGGGTACAACAGCTTGCCCATACATGCATCAAATCTCAGCCTGTCCCTGCTGAACCGGCCAAATTTCGATCTATGTATTGCTGGCTTTAGGCCAATGGTTTCTATTTGGCTTTTTCAACGTAAGTCAATTGAAAAATTGTCTCTTGTCAAGATGGGCATTTCAGAAATGAGCTGAAATTCAAGCTACACTATATTACCAAAAGTAGTAGGACACCCCTCCAAATCATTGGATTCAAGTGTTCCAATCACCTCTATGGCCACAATTGTATAAAATCAAACACCTAGGCATGCAGACTGCTTCTACAAACATTTGTGAAAGAATGGGTCGCTCTCAGGAGCTCAGTGAATTCAAGCATGGTATCGTGAGAGGTTGCCACCTATGCAATAAATCTATCAGTGAAATTTCCTTGCTACTAAATATTCCATGGTCAACTGTTAGTGGTATTATAACAAAGTGGAAGCAACTGGGAACAACAGCAACTCAACCATGAAGTGGTAGGCCACGTAAATGACAGAGCGGGGTCAGTGCATGCTGAAGCACACAGTGTGCAGAAGTGACCAACTGTTTGCAGAGTCAGTAGCTAAAAGACCTCCAACCTTCGTGTGGCTTTCAGATTAGCACAACAGTGCGTAGAGAGCTTCATAGAATGGGTTTCCATGGCCAAGCAGCTGCATCCAAGCCTTACATCACCAAGTGCAATGCAAAGCGTCAGATGCAGTGGTGTAAAGCACGCCGCCACTGGACTCTAGAGCAGTGGAGATGTGTTCTTTGGAGTGATGAATCACACTTCTCTGTCTGGAAAATTCGATGGACATGTCTGGGTTTGGCAGTTGCCAGGAGAACGGTACTTGCCTGACTGCATTGTGCCAAGTGTAAAGTTTGGTGGAGGAGGGATTTTGGTGTGCGGTTGAGCTTGGCCCCTTTGTTCCAGTGAAGGGAACTCTTAAGGCATCAGCATTCCAAGACATTTTGGACAATTTCATGCTCCCAACTTTGTGAGAACAGTTTGAGGATGGCCCCTTCCTGTTCCAACATGACTGCGCACCAGTGCACAAAGCAAGGTACATAAAGTCATGGATGAGAGAGTTTGGGGTGGAGGAACTTGACTGGCCTGCACAGAGTTCTGACCTCAACCCGACAGAGCACCTTTGGGATGAATTAGAGCGGAGACTGCGAGTCAGGCCTTCTCATCTGTCATCAGTGCCTGACCTCAAAAATGCGCTTCTGGAAGAATGGTCAAACATTCCCATAGACACACTCCTAAACCTTGTGGACAGCCTTCCTAGAAGAGTTGAAGCTGTTAGGGATGCAAAGGGTGGGCCAACTTAATTTTGAACCCTACAGACTAAGACTGGGATGCCATTAAAGTTCATTTGAGTGTACAGGCAGGCATCTGAATACTTTTGTCAACGTAGTGTATCTATGGCAATCTTTAACAATTACCCAGGATAGGCCGTGCCCTTTCAGTGAAACACTGAATTTGGTGGTCTTGGAGTGAACATCCAGGGTGGTTTGGTCGGAAACTGCCAGCAGCTTATTGATAGAAGAATGGTTAGAAGCTTAGTTTAGATCCAGCAAAGCTGAAGTCAGACATCCTACAGTACCTTCTCAGGACACCAGGCTAAGCATGTGAAGGGGAATAATCACTATAGATTAGAAACATCCACCCGCTTCGGCAGCACTTCCATCCAGCCGTTTATCTACATGGTCCGGACGGGAAGTGGTTAATAGTAAACCTGTCATGACAGAAATTATGAAGAGCTGTCATTGTTGACCTTCTTGTAAAGCTGCATTGACATCAGTGTGTGACCATCCCTACCTGACAGATGTTGGCTATTTGATTGACTGTCCAAGTGGGAGGGATTCCTCCATCCACCTCATGTGTGGATGGAGGAATCTGTTTTTTTTTTCATTTAGTCCCCTGCCTATGACCTCAAGTCAACGGAAAACTAATGGATGCATCCTGTACATTCAGTATGCCTTATCTTCTGCTGGCTCGTGTTATCCAAAGGCAGAATTGTGGCTAAATCACACATGACAATGCAGCCTGCGATTAGATGCAAGGAACCCAGTGGGTTCTTGCAATTAGCTGTGAATAGGCAGCCCCATTGAAACAACTCCCGCAACTAATTGCACACACTCGCATGTAATCACTCATGCAGTGATCAAATGGAAGTGATCAGCCCTGGATGCAGACTGGTTGTGTTCAGGGCCAATCACTTACATGCACTCTCTGCTTATGGGATTACATATGAGTGGGTGCGATTATCTACGAGAGCCAGTAGCCTTCCATTGCTTTCAATAGGGTGCCTACTCACAGGTAATCATGGGAACCCCAGCTCAAGTTCTCCCATCTATTCGCAGGCAGGATGCATTTGCATGTATGAAAGCACTCTTAAACTCAGCAAACTTAATATCAGGTAAAGAATTGTATGGGGATCCATGTATACAAAAGACATACTTGCATTCTTTAGATACCAAGTGCACCTCAAAATTCACCACTTCTCTACATCAGTTTCTCTTTAAAGGATAGGTTCACTTTTTGTAACATGTTACACCCATGTTGAGGGTGTAACATGTTACAAATGCACTGGTGTCTGCTCCTCCCTGATCCCCCGTTTTGACAGCCAGTGGGGGATCCTCTGCCACCACTAGCTGTCAAAATCTGGAAAAAAAAAATGCAACCATGCGGAGTTCTGCCCACCCAGTCGCATAATTTGTTCGCAGTATTCTTTGAATAGGGAGGTCCCGACAGCCGCAAAGGCTTGTAATTGTTAATGAACTACCACGGCGCTGTTGAGTGCTGTGGTAGTTCATTGATTCTTCCTGTCGTTGTGAAATGGCCTGCCCATACAATGTATGGGCAGACAGCTTACACTGACAGTCTGCAGGAGACCTGCATGGCACCAGCGATCTGCTGATCCCTGGTGCAATGCTTTCCAAGCTCATAAAACAAAAAATAGTAAATGCACATTTTTTTTACCTGCAAAAAAATGTGCATTTATTATTTTTTGTTAAAAGGTGAACTTATCCTTTAAAATTACTTTGCAATACCAGTCTTCATGCTCTTGCGGCCTCTGCTGCGTGCTGTGGTTCTACTATGTCACTACAGGACACATTTAAAATGCATTAGATAAACATTACTATTTAAGGCTCTTGTAAATTGAACCTAAAAATGCTCTTTGCTGTGGCTGTATCTTGCAAAAGCAATTTAATTCGGAAACTTGGAACAAAAAAAAGTAGCATATTAAAGTCAAAGAACTCTCAGAATTCCTTATATCTCTACTCGTTCTGAGTCAACAATTCAGAGTAACGGAGTAACAGGCAGGCAACTAGCATTTCCAGAGGGAGACATTAGCAATACCTCCATATTTTTCCTCATGTCAGGTTTCCTGTAAATACTACAGTAACACGTCCATCTTTAATCGTCAATGTAATTCTCTCATACGTGTGCTATCTCCTCTTTTTTTTATTTTTTTTTCCAATACCCATTATATACTTTTTAACATAAAACAATATCCTTTGTAATTAAATAGGTTCTTTGTACAAAATAAACCTTGGTGCAGCTTTTTTCATTTTAGAGCTCTTATAATTGCAACCTCTTACATTTTTTATCACTGTTTTTATGCTACTGTAGAGGGCTTTCTTTACATATACATTTGGTGAACTGTGCGCATTGAATTTGAATATTTCTTTATTTTCAGCATTAATTCTGTGGCTCTCAAAGCAGCCTCCTTGATATCCGAATACCAGGAGGAAGCAGTGCTCATACTGGTGAGATGATAGCATGTGATTGTTTGTTTTCTTTCCTGTCTTCTTAATCTGTTTAATCTGTTTTATTTGATGATTTTTGTTTAGATGGATAATGAACGCCTGTCATCCTATCCTGGGGTCCCTCCTCTGACAGTCTTTCATCAGAACGCCAGCAAACAGTGGGTCCCCAAAGAGAAAACCTTGTACGTATATCTCCTGCAGCATAGAAATTACACCAGAATTAAAACACACTAAGATCTACAAAATGGTGATGATTTCCTAAAATAAAATACAGTTGATGACAAATCTGCATAAAAATATGCCCTCTATTTACCACATCAGCTCACACACACGCTTATGGACAAAATTTTGTCATTATATAAAGGCAACCAAGTAAAACATTTATCTTAGGGACAAGCCAGACTTTTTATGTTTTCAAGCAAAAATCTTGTCTTGCAAAAATTTTTATTTTTTAAGCAATCTTTAGGCAAAAAAAGATGTTAAATGGCTTTTTTCTTGGTTGAGCAAGGTTTGTTTTAAAACAACTAGGGGTCTATATATAAGATTGTAACAATAGTGGTGTGAACCTCCTGCGCTCCCAAGTGTTTAAACTATATAACAAACTGTATAAGAAACCGGGAGAAGCTGCTAACATTAAATCATATACCAGTGATTGTGATAAATAAATACAATAAAGAATGTAGCGCTACTCCCTATAGTATATACACACATAAATATATAAATAAATAAATAAGTATTGTGGGATCTCAAAATTAAATGTGTAATAATAATATCAGTTAATATTAATTAGTGCCCATGATACATTGGATACAATCAAATAACTCAAAGCATGTGAAAAAACATTTGAATATATATATACATACATATATATATATTCTGTGCATATAAAATCACACGTGCCTCTTGTGTAGTGAAAAAACCACAATATAACAATACATAAAAAAGTGCTCTCAAAGTCCAATAAATGCTGATGGTGACCAAAGAAAACCCGTGCTTCCAATGACTACTATTGGTGACCATAAATAAACAAAAACTTGTGTAGATCTCTGGATGCATGTGAATCTGACAATCCGACCACCATCTGGATAAGCCTCTCACCTCATCACTTTGACCCTTGCGGATCAAAGCGCTTTTGTGGATCCCCCTCACGGATCCTCCAAGATAGCTATCACTCCAAATGTGGCTCTCTCAGAAATAAATATTCCACCACTGGCTCCTCTCCAGCTAAGTTGCAGCATCAATCTCTCAAATGAGACATAAAATAGATCCTCCATAGTGCAGTATTTTTATTTTTGAAGTAGGGACAGATAACAACAAAATTTTTCTCACTTACGTGGCAGCCAATTCAAAACCTCATGCTTTCGGATGAGGGCATGTATGTATGGGTGTACAGCTGAATAAACAGGTATAGAAAAGCCCCATCATTAAGGGATAAAATTGTTAAATGTGTCCTTGACCCGCCTATTAAAAGTAATAAAGTTACATTTTTGGATATAAACGGTTTCTTTCCGTGCAAGGCATGTTATGCTTGCAAAAAGGAAAAATAAGAAAATGGTGTGTTTTACATCATCTGTGAGTGATAAAGAATTTAAAATTGATGAATTAATTTCATGTAAGACGGAGGGGGTCGTGTACGCACTGCAATGCAGTTGCGGACTGCAATATATAGGAAGAACTAAAAGACCCCTCTGGGTCAGGCTCCGGGAACATGTGCAAAATATTAAGAAAGGGTTCCCGAAGCACAGCGTATCAAAGCATTTTGCCAAATTTCACAATAAAGACCCCAGTGATTTGAAATTTTGGGGTATTACTAAATATAAGAGGCATTGGCGGGGTAGCCATAAGGTGCGTTCCTTAAGTAAATTAGAATCGAAATGGATTTATAACATGCAAACGTATTTTCCTAAAGGATTGAATATTGAATTTGACTTAAATTGTTTTATCTCGGATTTTTGATGTAATAGGGGTATAGAATTGGTGCAATTTGACCTTCTGGTTTTATGACATGTTGCAATATATTTAACTTATGTTATATTTTTATGTATTTTAATATATATTGATTATATGATATATGGTGTAAACTCATGCTTTTGGATAAAGAGGTATTTATGTATATTTGAGTAGGTCCTTTATTGCTGGAGAAGAGGTGGAGCAGATTAGGATATATATATATTTTTTTATTAATTTTTTATAATTTATATATTTTTTTTATTTTTTCTCCTTTGTTTCATCAAAATTTAAAATATTTTTAATTAGATTTAAGAAGATTTTAATATTTAATTTTAAAATATTAAAAAGGGAAAGAAAGAAGAAGTAGAAAGGAGGAATATATATGTATGTATGTGTATTTATATATATATATATATATATATATATTTATATATTTATAAATATTAATTTTTTTTTTTATATTTTTTTTTGTATGTTTTTTTTTGTTTATATTTGTATAGAGGAAATAAACGTTGGTTAAATAAGTGCATTAGGTGAATAAGATCAGGTTTCGATTTAATATTGAATTAAAGTATCTAATAAATGGAGGTTTTTAATTAATTTAATAAAAAAGGTATTATAAGATTTTATAAGATGAATTAAAACATCAATTTTTTATATTTGTGTGGTTCCATATAATGGTAGAGATATTCTGTAAGATTAGGGTTTCATTTATCTGGGCTGGTGCGGTAATATATATGTTTCCTTGTGATCCATATATATGTGTGCCTTTGGGTTTATCGCATAAGCTAATTGCATAGTAGTCTCCTGTGGTCTTCTAGTTATGGCCGCGGAGAATAGAGGAGGATCGATGATGAGGCGATAACCTCCTTTGTGGGCGTTTCCTCTCATTAAGTCGGGTATTTGAGGAGAGATCGTCACTATGATTGACAGCCCTGAGGGAGTCACATGACATTGTGACGCAACGAGTCGGCTTGACGTGGTGACGTATTTCCGGCGTGGCGGCCATCTTGGTACACCTGTTTATTCAGCTGTACACCCATACATACATGCCCTCATTTGAAAGCATGAGGTTTTGAATTGGCTGCCACGTAAGTGAGAAAAATTTTGTTGTTATCTGTCCCTACTTCAAAAATAAAAATACTGCACTATGGAAGGATCTATTTTATGTCTCATTTGAGAGATTGATGCTGCAACTTAGCTGGAGAGGAGCCAGTGGTGGAATATTTATTTCTGAGAGAGCCACATTTGGAGTGATAGCTATCTTGGAGGATCCGTGAGGGGGATCCACAAAAGCGCTTTGATCCGCAAGGGTCGAAGTGATGAGGTGAGAGGCTTATCCAGATGGTGGTCGGATTGTCAGATTCACATGCACCCAGAGATCTACACAAGTTTTTGTTTATTTATGGTCACCAATAGTAGTCATTGGAAGCACGGGTTTTCTTTGGTCACCATCAGCATTTATTGGACTTTGAGAGCACTTTTTTATGTATTGTTATATTGTGGTTTTTTCACTACACAAGAGGCACGTGTGATTTTATATGCACAGAATTCTATATATGTATTATCCAATGTATCATGGGCACTAATTAATATTAACTGATATTATCACATTTAATTTTGAGATCCCACAATACTTATTTATTTACTATAAATTTATGTGTGTATATACTATATAGGGAGTAGCGCTATATATATATATATATATATATATATATATATATATATATATATATATATATATATATAAGATTTCACACAACTTTCACCCAGGTGTAAACATTGAAATAATTAATTTGAGTGAATTACAAAAATGTATGAATCCTGGGTGAGGCCCTGTTCACACTTGAGCATTTGTAGCTAGTAGCTGGAAGCTCAAAAAGCAAAAACCTATTGTTTTCAATAGCCGTTGTTCACATCTGAGCGCCCTGTCACTTGTAGCAAAACGCCTGTTGATCAAAAAATGAGCTGATTTTCAGGAAGAATTGAGCATTTTTTTCCCCATAAACTTTAATGGAAAAGCCAGAAAAATGCAACATGCTTTTTTTGAGCTTTTTTTCAAGCCTTTTGTTATGCATTTTCTGATCAAACAGCAACTCTCCACACCTTTTAGTTGAAAAATGCTCTGCTTCAAAAACGCTTAAAAAAAACACTTGAAAACGTGACGACTATGTTCACATCTTGGCATTTTGTTTCCCAAAATGCATCATGCGTGTTCAGGAGCTATTCATTTTCAATGGCACCTAAATCATAGTGCGGTTCTGCTGCGATAGTCGCACTGTACTCATAGCAAACCGCTTGTCTCCCAAAAGAATCTCCTGCTTCTTTTTGGGCAACAAGCTTCATGCGATGTGGTTTGCCGCAATTGCAGTGCAATTTGTCGTGCAACAATCATGGCAGAACTGCATTGCGTTTAAGGTGCAGTTGAAAATGAATGGCACCTGAACACGCACATTGCGATTTGTAATTTTTGCACAATGTTTTGAGATCGCAGGCAGAATTGTAGTGATTCTGCCCACGATACAAAATGCTCAAATGTGAACAGAGTCTTAGGTGTGAATGCAGCCTGAAAGCTGTTTAAATCCTGTGTGAATACATATTAACAGACTCCCTAGTGTTACTGTAGATAAAAAGTATACAGATTATTCTTTTAGTTTGTCACATTTATAATATGGGCCCAGTCACACCTAGGCAATCTGTTGGTTAACCTTGCACATGAATGTGTGTTGTGTTATAGCAGCTCATTAAGTTTTTTTTTTTTTTTTTGGGATGTGAATCAGATTTCCACAGCTTTGCAGCAACCTATAGTTTTATCAACAAGCTGTAGATCTACTAAGTTCAGTGATCTATTGCTGCAAGGGGAGTCCAAGATGACCACTAGGTCTCATGGGAAAGAGCTCAGTGATATCGCCAGTGTTTCCTATGTAACTGCCATATAGAAGCATTTTGGTTACTGCTGTCATAATGCTTTGTAGCAGATCAAAAGCTAAAGTGCTACTTATTTCTACACTTCTCCTACCAGACTCATCTATAGCTACTAAAACTGGGCACTCTAAAACGTACATATGCTTTGCAGAACAAGTCTCAGTACCACTCGTACCCCTGTACTGAGGGGGAGGAATGTGCAGCGTCTCAAAATATTCTACCTACTGTAGCTATAATGGTAGCATGGACAGTCTCATTGTTTTCTACCTCTGTCAGGATAATTAAAGCGGTATTAAATCCAAAAGTGAACATTATATTGCAGTTTACCAATTCTTAGATGTGATGGCTGCATAGGTTTTCTTTAGGCTTTCTTCTATTTTCACCTGGTGATCTGGCTAGTAAGTCTGTTTTTTTCTTTCAAAAGAACAAGCTCTCCTGCAGATGTATCATTTAGAGGGATAAAACAAACCATTTACCACTGAAAGGGGTGCCTAAAATGATCAGCTTTTATGTAAAACTTTTGTCCCCAAAAGGAACAAAACTGTTTCTATAACATATAAGTATTCGCTGGGCTTTGGTTTCAATTTGTTAATGGATTTAAATCTGCTAGTACATCTAACAATCCCTTCCCCCAAGACTGACAATACTGCTGTCCAAAGATGCACCCTGTACTCATTTATCCAAAATGGGGGCATTGTAAGTCCTCTTGCACATGGTACTGATGTTTGAGCATCAGCATTTCTGGACATTATTTCAGGTGTTTGTTTTGAGCATATTCGCGTTCATTAGTGCATTCACATGCACAATACATTCCTAAGCAAAATCCAATAAAATGTATGCTCATGTGCGCACATTTGCGTGTAACGGAGCAAAATACTGGCCAGGAATGCAAAGTTTTGTATTTTTTTTTTTTTACTCAAGAATGCGCAGTGCTTGTTTACACACGTGTGTACAGGCACATTAAACAATGGGCTGCATTTTAGATCAGTAAAAAAAAAAAAAAAATGCTGTACTGAGCTTTTTCAAGCTGCAGTGTGCAAGAGGCCTAATACAGGAGATGTATTTTTGGCTGGATCACCAGGTGAAAGCAGAGGGAAAACCACCAAAAAAATAAAAGTAATACAGCCACCACATCTAATGATTGGTAAGATGCAATATACACAGCTCAAAAAATTTAAGGCACACTTTGAAAACACATCAGATCTCAATGAGGAAAAAATTTCATGCTGAATATCTATACTGATATGGACTGGGTAATGTGTTAGGAATGTAAGGATGGCCCATCATTTGATGGAAATGAAAATCATCAACCTACAGAGGACTGAATTCGAAGACACCCCGAAAATCAAAGTGAAAAAAATTATACAGCAGGCTAGTCCATTTTGCTGAAATTTGATTGCAGCAATGCAGAATGGTACTCAGTAGTTTGTATGGCCCCCACGTGCTTGTATGCATGTCTGACAACGTCGGGGCATGCTCCTAATGAGATGATGGATGGTGTCCTGGGGTATTTCCTCCCGAATCTGGACCAGGCCATCACTGAGCTCTTGGACAGTCTGAGGTGCAAACTAGCAGAGTCGGATGCACCGAAACATGATATCCCAGAGGTGTTCTACTGGATTTAGGTCAGAGTGTGGGGGCCATTCAATGGTATCAATTCCTTCATCCTCCAGGAACTGCCTGCATACTCTTGCCACATGGGGCCGGGCACTGTCGTTCACCAGGAGGAACCCAGGACCCACTGCACCATGATCTAACAATGGGTCCAAGGATTTCATCCCGATACCTAATGGCAGTCAGGGTGCCATTGTCTAGCCTGTAGAGGTCTGTGCATCGCTCCATGGCTATGCCTCCCAGTCCATCACTGACCCACCACCAAAATGGTCATGCTGGACGATGTTACAGGTGGAAAAACATTCTCCATGGCTTCTCCAGACCCCTTCACGTCTCTCACATGTGCTCAGGGTGAACCTGCTCTCATCTGTGAAAAGCACAGGGTGCCAGTGGTGGACCTGACAATTCTGGTGTTCAGTGGCAAATGCCAATCAAGCTCTATGGTGCCAGGCAGTGAACACAGGGCCCACTAGAGAACATCGGGCCCTCAGGCCACCCTCATGCAGTCTGTGTCTGATTGTTTGGTCAGAGACATTCACACCAGTTGCCTGCTGGAGCTCATTTTGTAGGTCTCTGGCAGTGCTCATCCTGTTCCTTCTTGCGCATAGTAGCAGATACCGGTCCTGCTGATGGGTTAAGTACCTTCTACAGCCCTGTCCAACTCTCCTAGAGTAACTGCCTGTCTCCTTGAATCTCCTCCATGCTCTTGAGACTGTGCTGGGAGACACTGCAAACCTTCTGGCAATGGCATGTATTGATGTGCCATCCTGGAGGAGTTGGACTGCCTCTGCAACCTCTGTAGGGTCCAAGTATCACCTCATACTAGCAGTAGTGACACTGAGCATAGCCAAATGCGAAACTAGCGAAAAACAGTCAGAAAAGTGGAGTAGGGGGAAAAAAAAAAAAAAAAAGTCAGTGGCCTTTACGTGTAAAAGCGTTCCTGTTTTGGGGGTCGTCTCATTGTTACCCATGTAGTGCACCTGTTGGTAATTTCATTAACACCAAAGCAGCTGAAACTGATTAAAATCCTGGGATATTGATCTGGTCAGTTAAGTAGCAGAGGGGGGTGTTAATGGACTTTATGCTATATTTTGATTAAAAAGTGTTCCCTTCATTTTTTTTGAGCAGTGTAATAAAATTTTGGTTTTAATACTGCTTTAAGTTTAACTGAGGCAATCTGTGAAATACCTGCTAAGATTGTAGAATTTGACTTCTACTTTCCTATTTAAAAATACAGATAGTATTAAGAGTACATGTACACATATGAACAGTACATCCACCTGTAAATGCCTATCTTAATAAAAAGTAAATATTAATACAATATCATACAGTCATTGAATCTGATCATTTCTTATTCCATATTATGTGCACAATACAGCACTCAGCAGATTGTCTTTTATTACGTGAGCTTAACTCCTGGTCCCAAATGAACAAGTTTTCCCATACGGTTAACTGAAATAATGTTTTGTAATGAAATGTTAACTGGAAACAGTTCTGAAAAGCTACATTCACACTGGTGATTTAGGCAGGTGTGAATTGTATCGGCAAAAAAATCTTTGATTTTTGTTTCAGCTCCGAGGAGCTAGATTTGGCCGTTGGCCCCATTCACTGTAATGCAGGTATTCGTGGCTGTCCACACAACCAGCAATTACCTACAGTGATCTCTGCTGGATGCACCCAAAATGCATCCAGCAGCAATCACTGGCTGTGCAGAGAGTTGTGAATAGTTGCAGTCACCAGGTTTAGTGAAGGGGCTGGTGACCACATCTAGCTACTCAGGGTCGTTGCTGGAGTCAGAAGATTCCTGCACTTTAATCTGCACTGGCCTAAATTGCTGGTGTGAATGTAGCCTTATAAAATCAAGTTCTGCTACTTCAATTTTCTATCAGTGGCCCAAATTTACAAGTTGCATTGTTTTCCTGCAGGGTAATGTGGGGTCACTGGGAGGAAACTCAACGTATTACAAGACACCTTCTTCAAGCCAAAGCCTACCAACAATTGATTGACTTTGACAATCACTTGGATGACATTAGAGCTGACTGGACCAATCAAGCGCTGAATGTGGAAATAGCAAGACTGTCTGCAGCAGCAAACGGCAGCGTGTAAAAAGGAGAGATACACTGGGTTAATTTACTAAATATGTAGAGAATGTTCCCATTGTAAACTGAAGGATTTACTAAAGCTGGAGTGTGCAAAATCAGGCTCACTTTGGCAATAAAACCTGGAAGCTGATTGGTTTCTATGCAGAAGTTTAATTGAACAAACAGGTTAAAAGCTGATTCGTTTGTATGCAGAAGTGAGCCTGATTTTGCACTCTTCAGGGTTAGTAAATAAACCCCTGAATGGTCACTCAGTTCAGTAAATATGAAAATTTGTCCTCCAAAATCTAATCCTGCAAGAAAAAAAAAATAAAAATAAATCCTCTTTTCCCCCCATTGAGTTCCCAATGCAAGTACAGATGGATTGAAACTCAAGATAGTCTGGTAGGTACTGACGACAATGTCATCTGTAGTTGGCCCTCCCTGTTTGACAGAAGTCAGTCATTAGATCTACTGTTGTCGAACGGCCATGCTGGAAAACTTTCAGTCAGCAGCTGCTGATCAGCGTATTCTGACAGTGGAGAGTCCCGTTGTCAGAATACAATGGCACAGCAGGGAGGGCTCCTCCATTCACCACACTTGTGTAGATGGGACAGTCTGTAAGCTCGCAGGCTGAACAAGAAAAACTAATAGTGTATACCCAGCTCTACATATAATTTTGTTTTGTAGGTTAGTCCATCTTTACAAAGGCAGGCCATAGACAGCGCAGAAATGAAATTTGCACAATTCCCCCCTCTACACAGACAGAGCTGACAGGAGAATCCCTCCTGCCAAGCAATTGTATGCTCCCTGCAGGAGAGGTGGGCGGGAGAAGACAGTGATTATTGCTAGCAGCTATAGCAGCAGCTACCTATAGTCACAAGTGAATCCTGCAGGCTGGTTGTACCCAAATTGTGTGATCAACTTGGTACATTCAGCCTGCTTATACACAGTTCAAATCTCAGCCGGGAGCCGTCTATGGCTGGCCTAAGCTTAGTGAACGTTTGCTACTCCTTTAGTGTATTAACCCAGTGCTGTGGGAAAATACCTGTAACTGCTGTATGTATATATTTATATGTATAAAATTATTATCTTTTTTTGTACAGCATTTGTACATTCAGCCAATATGCAACTATAATATTTGTGTCTAAATTCAGAAATGTGTCCTGTTGGTATACTAACAGATATCACTATGACAAAATATATTTATTTCATAAGCAGTAACGTTTATTTACTTTTTGTGCTTCCTTGAACTAAAAGAAGACAAACACCAAATCAAACTATTCTTCAGTAGAAATAGTAATCACATATCCTGCTTGAGGATTTTACAGAAAATATAGTTTCTTCGCTACACCAGAGAGAAAAGCAGGCAGGCAAGCTGTGTTTAGTAAATGAGACGCTTGGTGTCCCCACGTGGTCTTTTTATCTTGTTATAATTCTTGCTGACGACATCATATATTGTGGCCTAGGGAGAAGATCAAAGTGTTAGTGGGCCACATTTAAAAACACTCATTTGTAGACATTTGTTCATTTAAAGCCGGTATAAAAAAAAAAAAATTCCATATAACCTGGTTATGGTTAAAATATTAGTGTACTATCTTTAGCTGCCAGCTTAATGTATAGATAGAGACCTTGGTCTTGTAGCCTGAACTACAAGTGTATGTATCCTTTAAAATGTGTTAACTTCTATTCCTACCTGAATTCTGCCTTTAAGTTCAATTTCTTTAATCCCAAGGATCCATTGCTCATACTGGGAGCAAGAGGGCCAGCACGCTGAGCCGATTAGGACTATCAGATCAATGTGCTGCTTTTTCCAAATCAGGAAGAAGGAAATTCATGATCACGCTGTGGTGCTTAACTGCACAGGATGTCAAGGTCCTAACTTTGCTGTCTGGCAGGGGTGCCTAGATCACACAAGACTGGCTAAGCTTTGTAGTTAAGACAGCTTACATATATTTATTTAAATTGTGTACTCCATTTTTGCATGGAGTGTAGTTAAAGAAAAAAAATAAATAAATCTACACCCCTAAAAGTAGATTTTCCATCTCTGGATTAAATTGCTGAAGGACTGGACCTTCACCCAGATGAACCTGTATGCCAGTCTTCTGTACCGCTGTTCCTACTATCAAAAATGTCCCACAAGCAGTATTTTCTCTAGGTTTTCCTATATGTGTATGAAATGGGAGACTTTAAAATAGATTTCCATTAGAAAAGCAGCAGACATTAGTGAAGGAAGTACTAGGTTTGCACCTACCTATATGCATATGTGCACTGATGTATTGCCTTCTTCTCTGCTTATATACCAACTACAGGCAACCACAGTTTGTGTACTGAAGTAAAGACCCAAGTTCCCAATCAGATTTCAGCAATTTACTATAATGAGGCTAATGAAAAGTAAGCTACTTTATGACAGTTTAATGTTCTAAAACGGCAGTAAATCCACTTTTCAGCCTACAGTTTGAGTCCTATTCTTTGAATCAGAACTGTGAAAATCAGTTGCTGCACTATTTGCTCATAATTTATCTCTAACACAGGAAAGAGACAGGACACGCAGTACAAAGGAAGCAGTGTCCTGCTCCTCAGCAGTGTGCACAGTGTTGAATTACCAGACTGGGAGGGCATAAAGTCATAAATAAAAAAAAGAAGTGGTAGAAAGTGCATAGCGGCACCAAGGGGTGAGTGCATGCACTTTATAAGCAGTTACTTTTTTATGACTTTAGGGCAGGGTGTCCATCTCACAACAAATCTTTATTATGAAATTACAGACATAAATGGACCTCCAACCCACATTTTTATCTAGATCGAGTAGGTAAAAATTTTTTATTACAGGTATTTATATAGCGCTGACAGTTTACGCAGCACTTTACATATATATTGTGTATTCACATCAGTCCCTGCCCTTTAGGGAGCTTACAATCTAAGGTCTGTAGCTTACATTCACACATACAGTACACATGCTAGGGCCAATTTAGGCAGGAGCCAATTAACCTGCCAGCATGTCTTTGGACTTTTAAGCAGAGTATCGCCAGTCATACCCAGGAAAGGAGCTTTAAACTCCTTGCTAGGTGATATAGGAGTCTGGCCTTCCTGCATAACATTATCCCCTCAATTACTAAGTCCTGGAGATGTGGAGAAACCAAGAGTACCCTACTGCATCTGTGGTGGACCTGTTCCCAAACTGACCACCAGTCAAACATGGCTGGAGACCCCAGAGGTAGCCCTTCTCTCTGTAATACCAGGGTCCATTGCTGGACTCAAAAGGTTGCCCTCCATTTTCTTCTCTCTGCAGGATGTGCACTCATCCATAGACATTGGAAGACAACAACCACCTCTACCGTTAGGGCATGGGTGGAAGAACTTAATTGCTGTTATCTCCTCCATCCGCAATGGAATTAACTGCCAGCCTACATGAGCTATATCATAAATTTGTGCAACGGTGGTATGCTTGTACCGACTTTTCCACACCAGCCAAACTTTAACCTTTTTTCTGACATTCCCAGCTAGGCCAATTGTGCTGCTGGGAGTCATGATGAGGTCCTGGTCGTGAGTCCTCCCTTCTTGATTGTTTTGCCCTCTATATCTCCCATCTTCTCCCTGCTCACTGTTCTTTCCTCGGTCCAGGCACTGATCATACCCATAGACTGTGTCCCAGGTTTCATCTCTCATAACACCCATAGCCCACACCCTACTTTTTTTATGAGTTCCGCTACAAAGTGTGGCCTCCAGGCCACAAAGCGGGTTGGATATCCTTAAAGGTATATTCAGTAATTAATGGTTTTGGAACAGCATTGCAGTGTCTTCTTTTACTGCTGTAACCCTCACGTTTTGAGCTTTTCTACTGTTTTGTACCTTGTAACCGTCCTGTGTTGTGTATCAAAACCTAATAAACTCTATTCTTTATAAATCAAAATAAGGGTAAATCTTAAGCCAGGTATACACATTGAAATTCAGACAGTTCAGCAGGAACTGGCTGAATTTCAATGTGTGTCTCCTGCTGGTTGAACCTCAAAAAAAGTCTGTATTCATGTATACCAAGTTTTACTTCTTTAACCCTGTCCTGGTAAAAGTTTAGATTTCCCTTCACTGCCTACACTGATGATGATCTTCAAGGCAGAAAGAGTAAAGCTAGCCACAACTAGAAGAAAAGACTTGTCTGAAGTTCCTTTTTAACTGCTGAATGACACTAAAAAAGGAGCAGAATCCAAAAGTTTTTGCAATTTTCAGGTAAACCGTTTGGAAATGGCTCCAAAATTCAGGCCATATCTTGCTAGAGTGGTTGCAACGCAAATAATAGCCAATATAAGATGTTCACATAAAAGGCATGTCACAAATTTCTACCATCTATGTAAAACCTAAGCTGGAAACCACCGTGCATTTCTTCTTTAACTCCTGAATGTCTTTCCCATGGTGTCAGTGTGGTTCGCTAGGTCACCCCTTTGAAATACAATCTACTATTATATCATGGGGATAATAAAGTACAGATTAGGACACTAGCTGGTTTTTAGCAGCTGTCATTTCTGTGTCCTAGAAGAGCAAGCAGCTATGTACTAGACAGACATGTAGCCTCTCATTGACAGATGAAATCCGCCCCTCTTCTACTCACATAGGAGTTCCTTATTTCAAGAGCTGTGATCCGGAGCTCAGAGTACTGCGATTCATCAAGCTGCTGAACTAAAGCACGGTAATCGCCCTGAAAGAAAAATTGAGAACAAATATTACAAAGAGAATAGGACAAAGCGTAAACCTCGGAGGTTAGAAAAGTGATATTTTACTAGGTAACAATTTAGATGAGTGATGTCTGTTCCCATTTAGAGCCATGTTTCAACTTCATTAAGTTTCAGTTGCATCTTTCAAAAAAATTCCTTTATGAAATTGGTGTTATCAGCCTACTAGTGACTGAATTGTGAAAACCAGGATAAGCTGAATTGTAGACAAAGATATACATATACAAACTATATTGGCAAAAGTATTGGGACGCCTGCCTTTACATCCATGTGACCTTTAATGGCATTCCAGTCTTAGTCTGTAGAGTTCAGTATTGAGTTGGCCCACCCTTTGCAGCTTTAACAACATCAACTTCTGGGAAGGCTGTCCACAAGGTTTATGAGTTTGTTTATGGGAATGTTTGACCATTCTTCCAGAAGAACATTTGTGAGGTCAGGCATGATGTTGGACGAGAAGGCCTGGCTCGCAGTCTCCGCTCTAATTCATCCCAAAGGTGTTCTATTGGGTTGAGGTCAGGACTCTGCAGGCCAGTCAAGTACCTCCACCTCACTTGCTCATCCATGTCTTTATGGACCTTGCTTTGTGCACTGGTACACAGTCATGTTGGAACAGGAAGGGGCGATCCCCAAACTCTTCCCACAAAGTTGGGAGCATGAAATTGTCCAAAATGTCTTGGTATGCTAAAGCCTTAAGAGTTCCCTTCACTGGAACTAAGGGGCCAAGCCCAACCCCTGAAAAACAACCCCATACCATAATTCCCCCTCCACCAAACTTTACACTTGGCTAAATGAAGTCAGGTAAGTACTGTTCTGGCAGCTGCCAAACCAAGACATGTCGATTGATTGCCAGACAGAAGCGTGATTCGTCACTCCAAAGAACACTCGAGTCCAGTGGCAGCGTGCTTTACACCACTGCATCGAAGCTTTGCATTGCACTTGATGTAAGTCCTAGATGCAGCTGCTCGGCCATGGAAACCCATTCCATGAAGCGCTCTATGCACTGTTGTGCTAATCTGAGGGCCACACGAAGTTTGGAGGTCTTTAGGTATTGACTGCAGACAGTTGGTGAATTGTGCACGCTGTGCGCTTCAGCATGTGCTGACTCTGCTCTGTCATTTTTACATGGCCTACCACTTAGTGGTATTATAACAAAGTGGAAACAGCAACTCAGCCACCAACAGTTGACCGTGGAATATTTAGTAGCAAGGAAATTTCACAGATGGATTTATTTCAACCTATCACAGTACCATCCTTGAATTCACTGAGCTCCTGAGAGTGACCCATTCTTTCACAAATGTTTGTAGAAGCAGTCTGCATGCCTAGGTGCTTGATTTTATACAATTCTGGCCATGGAGGTGATTGGAACACCTGAATCCAATGATTTGGAGGGGTGTCCCAATACTTTTGGCTACATATCTATATATGCGCCTTGTGTTACCATTAAAGTAAAATGCACATTAACACAATGCACAAGTTTGAAGGAGGCCCGACAGCTAACTATACTTTCAAATAGCGTAATCCTAGTGACCTCTTTCCCTATGCTAACTAAACCCCCTTGTACTTATCTAAGATCAACAGATGTGAACCAAGGTCCTAAAGATCCTACACCATATTTGGTGGTGCTGTGTCAGAGAAGCCACCTTGCGAACTTACAAGTAGACAACTTTTGTATTGAGACCTATGAACAACTTAGCACCTTAGACACTATGCACCCAGATATCCCTTTTGCCACCCTGCACCACTACCACTTAGCCCCCCCCCCCTGCACCCGACTCCGAATCTGTGCCTTTCAGCACCCCGGAACATGAAATTTCTATCAGGCTGGAGCTAAAGGGGAAACTAAAACTAACTTGACTTCTTGTATTCTCCGTTTACAGTAAGTACAAGATAGAACCGGATATATGAAATATTTTACTTGCCAAAAAACCTTGTTATTCTATTCGGATATTGTGATCCAGACCCCTGCCAGTCTGAAGAGTACACTAAACTAAAAGTTAAAAAGTCACTAAACTCTAGTTTAAAATACAAAATATTCAGGTATGTGTTCTTAAAGCGCAGCTCCACCCAAAAGGGGAAGTTCCAGTTTAAAGACTGGTCCCCTGCTCCACATTAAGGATTGACACCTTTGGCGAGTGGGTACCTGAAACTGACAGCTACCTGCTTTTCCTTCCGCTGCAATCGCCTTGGCAATCAGAAGTGGAAGTTGTCGTCCTCCCCCCTCCCTTCCTGTAGTCTTCTGGGACAGGTGACAGGTCCCAGAAGACTACAGGACCATTCACAAAGCACAGCGCTACTCGCACATGTGCAGTGGGCACCTGGCTGTGAAGCCATAAGCTATCACAGCTGGGTGCCCACACTGAAGATGCCGGCACCAGGAACACTGGATGGCTGGTGAAACGGGCTGTGGGGAGGACACCGTGTGATCAAGAGACATGCGAGTGGCTGTATTTTAACAGTCAGCAGCTGCAGTTTTTGTAGCTGCTGACTTATATTTTTAGAGTGTGACTGGAACTCTGCTTTAACTTAAGTACATTCTACTCCTCTCAGCCCCCTCCAAATCTTTTTTGCTGCTGTAATCCAACTTCATAATAGAGGGTGGATTCTCTGTGGTCCCACTGTACATAGGACCATAGCTACCCTCTCTTCCTTGGTCCCGAGATAAGTTAGGAATTATGGACTATGGTATTTGTAGTGTGCATAGAGCAGTGCACATGACCACAACTAACACACACTGCTTGTCGTTTTTGGAAAATAAGGATATAATTTAGTATCGCTTTAAGGCTGCCACTTTTCTAGGCAAGAGTATCTTATGATCTCTTTCCTATTAAAAACATTGGCAACGAGTACCATTATAAAGATAAATTAAGTTACTAGCGGAGTTATAAATATAGTCACATTGAGCCACTGGCTTCTAATGTATCTTGGATACGCCATAATTAGATCTCTCTGTCGCTATTTCTGTCAACTTGGGAGTTTTAAGTGTTCCTGCCTACCTTTGTGTGTTTTGGCTCTTCCTCCATTAAAAGCAGAAATACATTTAGCAGGAACAGTAGTACACCCTTACAAAACCACAGTAGGAGTGAAAGACCCAAGAACTCAGGTGTACAAAGCACACCAACAGAGTTCCCAAATAGTGATGGAACGGTCAAGTGGTTTAATGAAACATATCAGAACGTTTAAACATAACAGAAATATCACTATTGGGTCGACTTAATTTTTATTATTTCATATCCACTTCAGGTTCAGCTTTTAACCACCTTCCGCCTGCCCTATAGTACAATGACAGGCGCAAGGTGGTTCTCTCGTTCTGATAGGACGTCATATGTTACCATTCTGTGCATGCGCGGCTCAGGAGCGCGGCGATCGCCGGTCATAGGACACAGCGGATCACGGAAAGAGCAAGATTCGGCTCGGTCATCAGCTGTGTCCAATCACAGCTGATCACATGTAAAGCCGGCACTCTCCTCAAGAGCTGTCACGCTGACAGCTCGAGAGGAGAGCCGATAATCGGCTTTCCGTGGAGCAGACATGTACACTAATCATCAGGGCACTGATGATCAGTGTGGCCCCAGAAGTGCCACCTGTCAGTGCCCATCTGAGCTGCGCTTCAGTGCCACGTATCAGTGATGCCTGTCAATGCCCATCACTGCAGCCTCATTAGCGCACATCAGTGGAGAAAAATCACATTTACAAAATTGTAAAACAAACTAAAAAACGTGGGTTTTTTCAAAATTTTCAGTGGTTTTTGGTTTAAGAAAAAATAAAAATCCCAGGAGGTGATTAAATACCACCAAAAGAAAGCTTTGTCTCAAAAAAATGATAAAAATTTCATATGGGTACAATGTTGCATGACCACGCAATTGTCATTCAAAGTGTGACAGCGCTGAAAGCTGGAAATTGGCCTGGGCAGGAAGGGGGTATAAGTGCCCTGTAGGCAAGTGGTTAAGGAAACCTGTACTTTTTTCCCAGCATGAGCATACATTGCATGAATCAAAGTGAAGTTAGAACTCCGGTTCTGAATACCTGTCAGTGATTAGGAAAGACCCGAAGCCACTAAAACACTACAGCCAGGAAGCTACCATTTTCAGAAGGCTAACAATTTAGGAACAGTGGGCATGCAAGTTACATCTTATAGAACATTCAAATACATTGGATGCTGGCCTTGTTCTTTGTGGCCTTTATGATGCTATAATCAGTGAGATCCAACTGTAATTTTGACAGGTGGATCCCACCCTTTGCTGCAGGAGTTTAGACAGTGGTTTTGTTTTTTTTTTTTAGTTATGGTCAATACACATGAGGCCAGCAAAACATTGGCTTTTTATCACACAGCAAACGTAGACCTCAGTGATGATTGTATTGCACACCTATAAGAACATGCCAAAGGTAACTGCACTGAGCTTTACACAGGTGCAGTATGCACATCCACACCCAGAACCTCTATGTAGAGTGCTAAGATGGGGAATATGTGCCAGATTGGCCTAAAAATCTCCTTCACCTAATTTAGAACTCAAACATACTGATATGGTCATATCACAGTTATGTCAGGTGGCTTAACATGTATCGGAACCTTGACTTCGCTTTCTTCACACAATGTCAGTTGCCTCAGTATCTCATAACAGTAGCTAAACTCAAATCCTCAACACATTGGCAAAATAAAAATCTGCTGTTTATATCACCAGTGCAGAGTAGACATGGGCTTCAGATTTTACGAAGCATATAGGCTCTTACCACATGGGGACTCTTTGCTGCTTTGGCCACTGCATCACCGCGATCAGAGAGATACCTAAATGAGAACATTAGAAATGTATAAGATCAGACTGGAAATATCTGGACGATGTAAGAACAGCAGTCATTGCTGCCTGGATACAACACTCACTTGGATATCTGGGTTTGGGATGCATCTAACTTGGTCCTAAGATTTGTCATCAGTTCAAACACTTTTTCCTAGGAAAAGAAAGAGGCTTGCTTAGTTTAGGTCAACGTAAAGTGCAGACCCCATCCATCAGCAGTCACATAACTCACCTGAACAGCAACTCCAAAGTTATTCCCGTCCTCAATCTGAGGAATCTGAAGTTGCAGCCAAAGGGTAACCTGAGAAGAACAAGAAATACAGAGTATAGAATTGCTGATCTCAGTACTCTCCCTTTTGCATTTTTAGACATCACATTCTCATCCACCAAACCCAGTTCCCAGCCATCATTTCACATTTCCCTGCTGCTGTACTTCTTGTATGCCCTTCATCTCACCATATTCAAGTTTTCTTTCAGTGCTTGTATTTCATGTTTGATTTTTCTTTGCAGACTTGTAATCTTCTCATTGCATGCTATGGGGCCACAGGGAGGGCCTGAAGAGAGAGGTGTGATCACATATTAATCAAATGTATACATGATGCTGATAGGATTCAAAGTATAACCTTTCTTATAATGCGTTTTTTTTAAATTAATAATTCTGTGATTAGAAATAACTAACCCATTGGCTGAACTATGCCTTGCGGGTTTGTAATCAAGAAATGATAATTGTACTTCTGTTTTGTTTCCAGTATTAATGCTTGTTGGCTTACCATTTACTTGGTTATATACAAATTTAGTGGTAAATTTTAGTAATGGAGGCCGAGCTCACACTTGTGCGGTATATCGCACGTGATTCGCACTGCATTCCCATGCAAATCACATGAGAATTGTGTGCGGTGCGATTGGAGTCATACATTTTGTATAGCTCAAATCACACTGCAACCGCACCAAAAAAGGTGCAGGACCCTTTTTTTGGTCTGTACTAGAATTGGATCGCATGGGTATTTACATTCATGTGATCAGATTCTGCACATCGCACCACATTTTGTGGACCAATTGCGGTGTGTTAACATACACACCCGCATCGGTTCGCATTAACGGGGTGCGATTGTGATGTGGTATGGCATTTGCAGAGAAAACGCATGGGTATTTACACGTATGCAATCCGATTCTGCACATCGCACCACGTTTTGTGGACTGATTTCAGGGTGTTATCTTAACATATACACCTGCAGTGGTTTGCATGAATGGGGTGCGATTGTGATGTGGTGCGGGACAGGGGCGGACTGACAACTCATGGGGTCCCCGGGCAATAGGGGATCATGGGGCCCGTGTCCTTGCCCAAACTCAAAGCCTATGAAAAAGGTACCAGGGGCATCTCATGGGGCCCCCTACTGACCCCAGGCCCTCGGGCAGTGCCCGAGTTTCCAAATGGTCAGTCCGCCCCTGGTGCGGAACTCGCACAGAACCCAGGCTAAAATTCTAATTTTTCTATTCCCTCCCAGCCTCACCTGCAGAGATAATAGTCTCAGACATTTACATCACACCACACCGATCATATATGCTTTATAGAAGAATGATAGCGAGAATTTGATTGGCTGCTGTGGTCCACCACATGTATTTCTTCCGTTAGTCACTAACTTCACTTGTTCCTTATACTGATGTTTAGTTAGTATTTTACAGTATTTAGTGATAAAGTCATGGATAAGGTACAAAGTGCAGTGATTCCTAGCAGCCAAGTTTCAGTACTTTGCATTAAAAGATTGATTGTAGCTATGGGTTACTGTACACATTGCTTTCCAGTACATTGAAGTCATTTGACAGATTTTGCAGTAATAAAAGGACATGTACATGGTAATAAAACATGAGATATGATTTATGATATGTGAGACATTAACAAAAGAAGACTATATTCATCACCTTTATCCTCTTCATCATCTTTCTTTTTCTCGTCTTTTTCTTTCTTCTAAATAAAAAAAATAGCAGTTAATGAACTCCCATAGTGCTTTGTCTGTCTCTCTTAATCAAAAAATAAAATGTACAGTCTTTTAGATCTACCAACTATGTAGCGCAGGAAAGGCCTGCCTTAACGTGTATGTAAACCCTCACCTTGCACAATAACTCATTTAGTTTAAAAATAGAAATGAAAGTCAAAACATGTATGTGTACATATAAAAAAAAAAAAAAAAAAAACATTGTAAATACCTCTTTTCCCTTTTTAGAAGTGATCTAATTCCTTCTGTGTGTGTGTGTGTGTCAACACAAGTCTGATCATTGAAGGAAAACAGTTCTCTAGCTACTAGCATAGCTAGAGAACTGGTTAGTGTGGTCAGTTTTTAATAGGAAAGCAGAGGGCTTGGCAGGAACACCAGGGATTTCACACAAAGGAAGCAATACAAAGAACAGGATTTTTTTTTTTCATATACGTACATGGTAAAGCAGGCACATATCAGGAATATGAATTGTTGGGTTTACATCATCTTAAAATGGATATCTATCTAAAGATCTCTATATATAAAAATATACACATACACTATATTGCCAGATGCAGTGGTGTAATGCACGCCTCCACTGAACTCTAGAGCAGTGGAGACGCGTTCTCTGGAGTGACCAATCACGCTTCTGTCTGGCAATCCGATGGACGTCTCTGGGATTGGCAGTTGCCAGGAGAACAGTACGTGCCTGACTGCATTGTGCCAAGTGTAAAGTTTGGTGGAGGGGGGATTATGGTGTGAGGTTGTTTTTTTAGGGGTTTTCAGTGACGGGAACTCTTAAGGCATCAGCATACCAAGACATTTTGGACAATTTCATGCTCCCAACTTTGTGTGAACAATTTGGGGATGGTCCCTTCCTGTTCCAACATGACTGTACACCAGTGCACAAAGCAAGGTCCATAAAGACAAGGCATGGATGAGCGAGTTTGGGGTGGAGGAACTTGACTGGCTTGCACAGAGTCCTGACTTCAACCCGATAGAACACCTTTGGGATGAATTAGAGAGGAGACTGCGAGCCAGGCCTTCTCATTTGACATCAGTGACTGACCTCACAAATGCTTTTCTGGAAGAATGGTCAAACATTCCCATAGATACACTCCTAAACCTGTAGGACAGCCTTCCCAGAAGAGTTGAAGCTGTTTTAGCAGCAAAGGGTGGGCCAACTCAATATTGAACCCTACGGACCAAGACTGGAATGCCATTAAAGTTCATGTGTGTGTAAAGGCAGGTGTCCCAATATGTTTGGCAATACAGTATGTATACACACACAGTCTCCCATACTCTTCACCTCTCATGCGCTTTCTCCCCCCTGATGTGGTAGCTCTGAGCTCAGAGCGTGAGAGCTCACGCCTGTGATGGAGGTAAATGTAATGGAATCTCCCCATTGGTGAACACAAACAAAAACTTAATAGATGTCCTATCCCACCTGTACTCTGACACTTGAGGAGATTTACTAAAACTGGAGCACTCAGAATCTGGTGCAACTGTGCATGGTAGCCAATCAGCTTCTAACTTCAAAGATAAGTTCCCCTAATAATTGCACATCTTTTTGCAGGTTAAAAAAAAAAAGTGCATTCATTCTTTAGGAGCCTGTAAAGCGGGAGTCTCCAAACTTTTCAAAAAAAGGGCCAGTATACTGTCCTTCAGACTTTAGGAGGGCCGGATTAGGGCCAGTGAGGATAGAAAATGTCCTGGCCCCAGCATCAGTGAGAATAAACATGGCCTCAGGGTTGCTGGTCAGTAGGAGTAGTAGTGCCCCACAATTGGTGTTAGTGGGAAGAGTAGTACACAGTCATTGGTTATATGGGAAGAAATACTGCCCCATTGTTGGTCTCAGTGGAAGGAATAGTGCCCCAAGGGCCGGATAAAGGGTAGCAGATGGACACATCTGGCCCTTGGGCTGCAGTTTGGAGAGAGCTCTGCTGTAAAGCATTGCACCCACGATCAGCAGATCACAGGTGCAATGCAGGGCTCCTGCAGACTGTCAATGAGAGCTGTCTGTTCATACTTCAGGCAGATAGTTACACAGTGGGGGGAAAAAAAAAAAAAAAAAAAAAAAAAAAAAAAAAAAAAGCGATGCACTACCTAGAGAGCTCACCAGCAGTCTGGTAGTTCACTGAAAACTACAAGCGATTAGCTGCAACAGCTGACAGTAGTTGTAGTTTTCCTGTTCACAGAACCCAGTGAATGAATGATGAGGATTGTGACAGCGGATGAGGGGAGAAGTTCCCTGGTTTGCCGTCACTAGAGGCGGAGGATTGGGGAGAGGCTGCAATAGTGGGAACATGTTACGCGTTCTACCCAAAAACCAGGCAGAACATGTAACAGGTTCCCAAAGGTGAACTTATCGTTTAAGCTTGTTCAACTAGGCTTTGGCAATAAAACCTGGACAATTATTTTCTACACACCAGATGTTGCACTCTCCAGATTTAGTAAATATCCCCCTTTAATTTGGATGAGGGTGGGCTACAAGGCTTACAAATAAAATTTGGTTATATGACCCTAATCAGCCATAATCCTATGACCTGACAAAGTATTGTGTCAATTCTTGTTTATAAAGGGATGGCAGAAATAGTACAACATCAGAGAGGAGTTATAATTACCTTACCTGTTTTTCTTTTTCCTTCTCTTTTTCGGGGTCTGGTATTGGTATATCAAGTTCAGCTCGCAGTGTTGCCAAATCAGAAACATTCAGCTCTGCAGACTAAAGAGATAAAGCAGAAGTCATGAACATCTATCTTGAAGCATCTTAAGTCAGAGGAACAGTTTATATGGGTGATGGGGTAGCAAGAGCAATTATAGAAGTGACTGGGGACTGCAGCATACATGCTTGGCGATGTTGGAGTGCCACTAAATGGTGAAAAAGCTGTACTTAGTCGATGACACATTAAAATTAGCCAACGTTGGAATTGTTGCCAATATCAAGCAACCATCTTTTACTTTTAATTTTTCGAAAAAATTAAGCAAGAGTTCTGAGTGGTCGACATAGCTCCTAAAACGCCAATTTTGCTCCTTTGTATCTAGGAGTACAAGACCAAACCTTCCTCGTAAGACAGTTATGAACACTGATTAGCTGTTATGCAGCACGGTATACACAAGCTTTGGTCATACATGGGTACAAGTGCTTTAGAATGTGTTTCCAGGGTGACATCCAATCTTTCATCTTTGCCTAAATGATAGTGTTGGGTACAGCCAACTTACACTGAGGAACTTGTCCAGGTCAGCAATCTTCTGTGGAATTCCTACTGAGATCAGCTCATTCGCCTGGTAACAGCAACATAGAAAACAATTGTATAAGGGAATTGGAAACGTTATTAACAACCAGAATAAGAAAAAATGAGGGCTTGAGTACATAACTGATTCTACGATTGTGCTGCTATGTCACTGAGCCCTATTCTACCATGTCAAACATGTTTATTAGGAATACAAAATCAGCAGACATGAAATGCAGGTCACCAGCAATGAATTCAAAATGATCTCAAGCTTCTCAAACCGATGTCAAAATGCCACTGCTGAGCATATGTGCATCAAATACAAAGGAACTGAGAGGCTGAAACTGAATATTGTGCCACCATAATTACAGCTCAGCATACACAGATTGAAGTTCAGCAGGTCCAGCAGAGGTGGAAAATGCTTCATCAATTAGTGGCCAATCAGTCACAGCTGTTTATTAGTGTATTCTGACAGTGCCTGGATACAGAACACAATGTGGTAGGAAGAAAAGCAACCGAATGCCTGAGCTCCTGTGCTGGACAATGGACTCTACAATGTCAATATCCCCACATGTGTATGAAAAGAATGCAAGCCTTGCTGCCCTCAATGGACCAGGGAAATCCAAAAGAGAACTGTATTTAAAAGACAAAAAGAGGGCGCATGGACTTATTGATAAGTAAAATGCTTACAAGAGAAATATCAAATGGAAAGTATGTCACAAAATGGATGCAATGTGGTCCAAAACCCCTGAAGGTGGTCTGGTGGGGACTGTAGACCTCAGGATAGCTGGTACTGACACGTTTCAAGGTTGTACCTCTTCCTCGGAGCCAGTCTGACTGGTAAAACCTCAAAACGCATCAGCCACCAGCTATCCAGAGGTCTACAGTCCCCCCCGGACTACCTTCAGGGGTTTTGGAACACATTGCATCCCTTGTGACATGCTTTCCATTTGATTTTATTTCTCTTTTAAAAATTAGATTTAGAAAAAGTAAAATACTCAAAAGGTAATGCACTAGGCCTGTGCACACTGTCTCTTTATATACAGAACACAATGTCCCCACCAGGAAATTCCTCCAACCACCTTGTTTGTGTGGATGGTGTATAGCCAGCTTAAGTATTCTTTTTTGCTTTTAGCAGGTTTACACTAGCAAATAAAAGCTTACCTGGGTTCGGTCAGGGACTGAATTTTGGAAATGCACAAAGTGCCATTTCTTTGTGCTTTGCAAAAAAGTTAGTGACAAACTTGTTCAGTAACTTGACACTCCTAGGACCTGATGCCAGATATCAGTTAGGACCCCTCTGCTTTTATCCCACACCCTGTGCGCCATGCTTGATTCATATCGATTGGTCAAGTCAGCCATAGACGGTTCAAATCTTCAGGTTCAGCAGGGACCAGTTGAGATTCGAACGTGTGGGCAGGCTGAATGTACCCAAATTGATTGATCGATCAACTTGAGTACAACCAGCCCGTCAGATTTTACATACGAATATTGCTAGTGCTCCCAGCGGGAGCAGCTTCCCCCCACAATAACTCTGGAGAATAGGATAACTGACTGTTAATGAGCAAATAAAGTGATTTTCTTACCTGCAAGCCTTTTACCTTGACTGCAGGCAAGAAAATCGCTCAGTTTATAGCCGACTTTAGGGTGCATACATACTACTCCATTGAGAAGAAATTAATTTAAAACACATATGCGTTTTTGATGCATTTCTGGGTGTCTGACTCTCAGCATTAAACTGAAACATGGACATGACTTAAAGCACTAAAAACAAAAAACAAAAAGCGCAACTACGGTGTGTTTGATGCCTTTTTTTTTTCCCCACACTTTCCATTCATTTCAAAGGGGAGCTGCATTTTTAGTGTGATGTTGAAATATGCAGGACTCTTCAAAACAGACCACACCCGCAGTGCAATGGTGTGAAGAGTCCCATAGGGTTTAAAAGAATATATGTTTGTGTTTTTTCTTTGTTCTATCAAGGAAAAAAAAAAAAAAAAAGTGTAAGCAGCCTAACACTTGCCAAAACAGTTTTCAACACGCATGCTGCATTCTAAAAAGGCACTTGAACGCATTTATATATTAAGAAAAAAAATGAATCTGTGCTATGGTGGGGGTTGCCCTAGCACAAAAACACATCAATGTACCTCACATTTTTGTTCCAAGTTATTGGCTTGGTTAAGAAACTGGGATCAGTATGACCAGTGATTTTTTAAGTCAGCAATAATACATTCAATACTTCTACAGTATTCTCAAAGGTATCCTTTGAGATGCTTACCAGCCCATGTAACCTCTAAATAGCATTTGAGATTAAATAGTTGCATTTGAGTTTTCTGCAACTATAATAAAATTCACTATTTATTATGTTGAATATATTTTCTTACCTCCTTACAAAACGGATTCTGGAATCCTTGCACCTATAAAATAAAACAAAATGGTAATAGATAGCTTCATTAGATGGTTTGATTAAATTAGATTACATGGCTTGACATTGTTTTTTCCCATGGTAGCATTTAAATTAGGTAAAAAAAATATAATGAAATGCAGTTTGATGCATGTTTAATGGCTAAATCCACTTATCTAAGCATGATTCATGTTATATCCATACTTGGGATGTAACATGAAGCATGGTCAGAGTCTGCAGCCCCCCATCAAAAAAAGCCAACCGTTTTATATAAAGGGGGAGGTCTTCTCCCTGCTGTCTCCTGTCAAATATAAAATCAATGCAGCTGTGTATGGCTTTGCCCAGTCACATCATTCACAGAAATCTGTGAAAAAAAAAAAAAAAGAAGAAAGACTACAAGTGCTATCTGCCACCACAGTGATGTTGTCGCACTTGTCCATTGATACTTCCTCCTGCCCTGTGAGCGGAGGTTTGAATCGAAGGCCTGTCTATGGAAAGTCTGCAGGAGACAGGATTGCACCAGTGATCCACAGATTGTGCTTTAAATGCTTTTCTGGCTTCTATGCAAAAAATAATAAATGCACCCTTTTTATTATGGGTGCATTATTATAACTTTTTTTTTTTGTAAAAGATGGACTTAGCCCTTAAGGCCAGTTTCACATATTTGCAATATGGCAGTGCTTTGTGCTGCCATTAATTTTAAGTTGCACCCCACCACACTAAAGCGATGGGCTACCAAAAGACATGTGCTGCAGTGCAACACTACATACTATCATACGTCATGGTGCGCTACGTTATCAAACAATGGGGCAGGTGCATTTTAGGTCAATTGTAGGGTATTTGAATGAGCCTTCTGAATATAATGCGTGCTGCTGTACCACACAAGTGTTAATGGGGCCCAACTCAATATTATGGTCTGAAATGGTGCGAACCAAACACTTGTCAACTGCTTACAATGGGGATACTGGTGAAAACTAATTTCATAGTGGTGCATGCAGCTACCTGCACATCTTTTTCTGTTTTTTTTTACTATCGACTTCATGTGTATGAACTTTATGAAAGAAGTGTTTTTACCTTTTTTAATAACAGTCGAGACTGGCTAAGCTAAACTGGCAAACATCTTAAACCTGATTGAGCAATACAGACCATTCTTTATATGACAACTTGTGGCTAAAAAAATTCAGTATGAAGCATGGATTCCCCCAACAAAAAGTATGAAATGTTTGTCTTTACCTGGTCTTTAATAACTATGTGGCACCCTCCTAGTTAGACAAGGGGAGCTAGCTAATTATTTTTTAGTTGGGAGGCAGAGTAGCAGCTGGGAGAAATAATCAGAGGGGTCAAATTTGGGTCAGGGCTGAGATGCTCTGCAGATCAGCTCTCTGAAACCTCCCCCTGATCTAGAGACTTGGAGAAGTCTCTAGAACTCAGTGGGCGGGGGTGAGGAGGAGCTGGTCAGCCCTCTTAAGGAATCCTGACCAATCCCCAAGCAGGACGCTTGGCATGGAGTCAAGACAGCCCCTAAAGTGTGACTGAGTCTGCTCAGTGGTAGTAGAGTTCAGGTGGAAGATGTGAGAGCAGGAGCTGGAGTGTGGAGCCTGGAAGGAGACCCAGGGAAGGGGCCTGCCTCCAGGAAGGACTGGAAAAAGGGAAAGCTGGACCTCAACAGCCCCCTGAGAGAGGACAATCTGTGGAGCTAAGGAAATAGCCAGCCCAGCAGAAGGCCTGAAGGCAGCTACCAACCTGCAGCTTGCAGAAGAGGGACAGCAAGTACTTCCACACCCACTGGACTGGAGTAGGTGAGAGGGCATTTGGGCAGGAAAACCTAACTAGCCCCAGCTTGACTGTGCTTCAAGGCGGCAGACTTTAGATACCCTTATCCAGGGATTCCTCTACACAGCTGGATAGAGGAGAACTGCCTGGAGTTCTCCTGGTACATCAGGAGAGGCTGGCTAGCTCTCCAAAGAGAAACCCATCTGAGCACTTGTAAATAGTTCCAGGAAGTTGTCCTCATTCCATTCCATGTATCCTTCATCCCCATCCAAGTTATCAACCGCTTAATAAAAAAAGAAAAAAAAAAAAAAAAAGTTTAAAAAGGACTGTTTACGGTCTCTGCAGTGCAAGGCTGCAGGGAAATAAGTTGCCTGGCTGTGCAGGACCCAAAACTCGAGACTTCTAAGGTGGTAGTGCTACAACTAGATTATAACATACATGTACATATATCAATGCTATATAAATATGAATAAAAGTCAAATAAATACATGTATGTACAGCCTTGTGACAAAGGAAGCACACCCCATAGAAGTTGATTTTTTTAGAACTTAAGAACTTTTTCTACATATTTGAACAGGCAAACAATTCTTACAGAGAAAGGTAATATACATAGGTGAATAAAAACAAAGGAAAATATACCTTTTCAACCATTTTAAAAAATATAACAGATGATATAGTATACTGTAGAAAAGAGTAAGTTCACCTCAGAAGCAGACATTGCCCCCTTTAGCAAAAATAACAGTTTGCAGATGTTTCACATAACTGCCCACCAGTTTCTGAAGACTTTGTAATTTTTCCATGCCAGATGTTTGTGGGGTTCCTTTCATGAACTGTCATTTTAAATTCTCCTACAAACTCTCAAAGGGATACAAATCGGGCATTAACTAGGCCAGTCTATAAACTTTTAGTTTGCTGTGAGCTATTCCTTGGTAGTTTTGCTAGTGTCCTTTGGATCATTATACTAAAAGATCTTCAACAATTGGATAGATCGCCTCACATTCTCATTAAGCAAGCTTTGATATGATGCAGAATTCAGTTGACTCGATGACTGAGAGCTACCCAGGCCCTGAAGTAGCAAAGCAACTCCAAACTATACCGTTTCCACCAGAATTCTTAATAGCGGAGTTTTGAGTTTGTCCCAACATGTCTACTGTTACCAAGGTCAAACAACTATATTTTGATTTATTGCTCCACAACACATTGTGCCCGAAAGCCCAGTATTTGCCTTCAACTTGAATGGAAAAAAAAACAGTTTTGATCTACTGTTCTTTTCTGACAAAGGCATTTTTCTGGCACTCCGCCTATGGAGATTATAATTATGCAACCTCTTCCTGCCTGTTGATGTATGCACTTTAACACCAACTGTTGCAAGAGTAACCTGCAGATCGTGCAATAGAAGTTTGGGTTCTTGGAGACAGCTTTTGGTCTACATTTGCTGGGCCAGCCAGTCCTGGACAAATTAGCAGTTTGTAAGGAAAAAAAAAAATCTTTAAGTGCTGTAGATTTCAATGGAATGACTTACCACAGCTAATAGAGCCATCCACAACTCAACCCCCGGCTACATCACTAACTGTCTCAAAATACCAACCAAACGGTCGCTTCGTTCCTCTCAAGACTTCCTGCTCTGTAGCTCCCTTATCACCTCCTCCTATGCTCACCTCCAGGACTTCTCCAGAGCAGCTCTGATCCTCTGTACCTCCCTTCCCCAATCTCCTACTCTGTGCACTTTTAGATTATCTCTGAAAACTCATCTGTTGAGAGGCCTACCCTGCCTCCACCTTACAACTGTACATGTATTTTCTCCATTAGCCCACCCACCCAGTTACTACCTTTTGTATCTCTTGACCCTCCCTCTTAGATTGTAAGCTCTAACGAGCAGAGCTCCGATTCCTCCTGTATTAAATTGTATTGCGCTGCGTAAACTGTTTGGCTGTATAAATCCTGTATAATAATAATTTTAAATAATTCTGTGATCTTTTTAAACCCCTAGTCAAAAGGTATCAACAACATTCATTACAAAGCTCTTAGGTCTTGTTTACACCAGCATTGTCCGAAGGGGGGGGGGGGGGGGGGATTGCTTTTCAAAGGGTATTTGACAGGAAGTGAAGAGTGTCGAACATACCAAAAGTTTGACCGCGAACTTCGAACAAGTACAATTTACAGAGTGGTATCTTACCACATCTGAATATACAGTAAAATACAGTTTAGCTACTAAAATACCACATGAGTTATACCATTAAGTCATGCGGTATTTTAGTAGTGAAAACCCCGGTGACAGCTGTCAAAAGAATTGTTGGCATTGCCCGACAATTTTTTTTGTTTTTTTTTTTTTTTTTTTTTTTTTTTTTTTAAGAAAAACGGCATGGGGTCCCCCATTCCAAACAATCTGAGCCCTTCAGATCTGGTATGGATTTTGAGGGGAACCCCACACCAAAATTTTTTTTTCTTCTTTTTTTAAACGGCGTGGGGTCCCCCCCAAAATCCATACCAGACCCTTATCTGAGCATGTAGCCTGGCAGTTCAGGAAAGGGGAGGGATGAGTGAGTGCCCCCCCCTTCCCTACTGAACCATACAACCTCAACATGGAGGAGTGCTTTAAGATGGGGGGCTCCTCCCCCCAAAGCAGCTTGTCCCCATGTTGATGGGGACAAGGACCTCTTCCCCACAACCCTGGCTGGTGGTTGTGGGGGTCTGTGGGCGGGGGCTTACCGGAATTTGGAAGCCCCTTTAACAAGGGGGCCCCCAGATCCTGCCCCCCCATGTGAATGAGTATGCGGTACATGGTACTGCTACCCATTCATGAAAAAAAGTGTAGTAAAAAAATGACAGACAAGATCTTTAATAAAAATTGTAAAAAAATGTCTCCCAAAGTAGATCCAGCATCAGTCAAGATGCCCGCCACCACCACCGACCCAAAAAAAGAAGAAAAAAAAAAAAAAAAAAAAAAAAAAAAAGGCTCCGCTCTTGACGCTGGCTCGCGCTGACAGCTGCGCCGGGATGACAGTTACCCCCGCCCCCTTGTGACATCAATGCTCTGACAGTGCATTGTGATTGGCCTAAGCAATTCACCTTCTTAGTCCAGCCCTCAACCTCAAACCAGGGAAGTGCATGCCTGGGGTCAGCAACCCACTGATTGCGATCTGGGCTTGCTGACCCGCCATCCCAGAGCATCAGAGGGCATCAAACCGACACAGGCAGCATAGGAAACAGGTGGCCACAGAGAGCAGGAGCCACATTAGC